TCCAGGTTTTCTCTTATGTTATCTTCTAGGAATTTTATAGTTTTGTGTTCTACACTTAGGTCTATGATACATTTTGAGTTAATTTTTGTGAAATTATAAAGTCTATATCTAGATTCATTTCTTTGCATGTAGATGTCTAGTTGTTCCAGTAACATTTGTTGAAAAGACTGTCTTTATTTCATTGTATTGTCTTTGCTCCATTGTGGAGCATCATGTTTATGTGAGTCCGAGTTCTCTCTTCTGTTCTATTGATCTGTCTGGCTATTCTCTGGCCAATACCACACAGTCTTGATTACTATGGCTTGATAGTAAGTCTTAAAGTTGGGCAGTGTCAGCCCTCTGACTTTTTCTCCTTTAATATTAAGTTGACTATCTCGGTCTCTTACCTTTCCATATAAACTTTGGAATAAGTTTGTCAATATCCAAAAAATAATTTTCTGGGATTTTGATTGGGACTGTGCTGAATCTATAGATCAAGTTGGTTCCTTTCTTCATCCCCCTGCCAGAAGCACAAAGAAGGTATTCATTGTGAGGACCTGATACAGCTCCTGGAGGTAAAACTCACAAAAGTGTGGGGCACTTCCTAAGTCTGGGTCCTCCTGAAGTTTTTAACTACCTGAATTGCCCACATTGAGTCTCGAGCAATTCATCAATTACAGATCAGATTTTCCCAGCCTATCACTGGTACCTGCAGAGGTTTCTGCTCATGGGCTTCTATTCAGTAAGTTGTGATTCTTTGTATCTGTCTCTCCAATTTGGGGGCAGAAGTTTGCCTTGTGACCTCGGTTATCATATGTCTTTAAGAAGAGTCGCTGATTTTTCCGTTTTTTATTTGTTGTTAGGATGGAATGGCAACTTCCATGCTCCTTATATGCCAGAATGGAAACCAGAAGTCTCTATTTTTTTCTCTAAAGATTTAAAGTTTCCCTGAGAAACCATCGTGCTAGATTTTTTTTAATGTTTATGTCAATGCATTTATTTAGACTTTTCCTTTAGGAGTTTTACCACAAATAACATGATTCAAATGGCCTTCCCCACTCCAAGATTAATATTTATTTTTATCTAGTTCATTTATGATTTTATTTCTTCTTCACATTTTAATGTACCTGGAGTTAATTGAGTCATATAGACAATGAAGAGACCTAACCTTATTTTTCAGTCACCTATTATATAACCCTATCTAATAAAGAATTTATTCTTTCCTCCACAGTTTTGAAATTGCTTTTTATAATAAATTCTATGTTTCTACTTTGTTCCACTGATCTGCTACATACTCCACAGTCATATGAAACTTTCTAATTCATTTTGATTTTAAAATATATATTTATATTTGGCTGTGCAGGTTCTATTCCCCCCACTCCTAGTTAATCATTTTTAAACTTTCGCTAATATTACAAGCTTACTCTTCCTAATAAATTGGAATAATTTTTAATAATTCTTCAATTGCAATTATATTAAATTGACAGATTAATTTCATGAGCCATGGATATTTTGAAGCCAAATCAACTATTGTGTCAAATTAGGGATGTTTTTAGTTGCAAACAATTAAAAACCCATGTCACACATGGCTTAAGAAAATAATGTACACTAATATCCCTTAAAAATCCAGGAGTGAGGTGGGCTTCCCATGCACTTCAAACAGGGCTTCATCTCGGTTTCTCCATGACCGTCCGAGCTCTGCCCTCTCCTTGTGGGCTGTCTTTCTTCATTCTCAAGAGTGCTACCAGCAGCAACCTCAGACTTGTGCTTTCTTGGTAACATCCATGCAGAAAAAAAGGCATGACTCCAGGAGCATCTAACAAAAGTCCTGAGCTTTGCCCTAATTTGGGCCTTCCTGATCTAGTTACTATGGCCTGGGGAAATGAGGTTACACTGACTGGGCAAATGAGGTTATACTCCCAATCAGGGGCTACTTTTGGATTTAGAGGTGGACTCATTTCAAACCAAACCAGCAAGCTAGTCCAAAATAGAGAGAAAAATAAATGCTGGGACTGCCCATGAGGTCCACTGCCTTTGGCCAAATGAAAACTTTTTATAGTTGAAAAATGAATCCAGGTATTTCAACTTTCTTATGACATAGCGGTACACAGCTTTCTTATGACATAGCGGTACACAGCTGTATGCACACACACACATACAACTCCCACAGGTATGTACATACACGCACACAATCTGTGTGAATTTTCACAAGGCCTAATAGCTAGAACTAAAAGAGGAAATGGCCATATTAAAATAAATGTAGATACTGACAAATTACAAGTACAATTGATATTGTAATTTAACATGCAATTCATTATCCTAGTTAGAATAGTATAATTTTATGCCTTACTGCTCACCAGCCACAGATAACTAATACCCATCACTGCTATTTACTCAAAATATCCCTTTTACTCTTCCTTCTCAAAGAAACCACTCCTGAAGCCTCATTTAGTTTTTATCAATGCTTCATCATTCACTGCTAGCATATTTATAAAGTATTTTCTTCACTTGGTATTTGCATGTAATTTTTATTTGGTCAAGGTACATGTATATATGCTGCTTCTCCCAAATAGTCCAAGCCTTCTCTGAGGAAAGGCCATGTTAAACTGATCTGTTTGTTGAACCCTCTAACAAGGAGCTTAGCGGAGACCACTGTATATTAAGAATTATTCAATAAATATTCATCAAGTAAAACACATCAATTACAGAAAATGTACTCTGGATAATTATATGTGGCAAGTAGACTATTAAACTAGAATTTATGAACCTATATTCCTCCAAAGTATATTCCTACTGCTCCCATAACATGCCTTGCCAGTATCTCCCTCATTGTTTTCACCTTCAATTAAACTCAATTGAACAATCATTTATTTAGAAGATGCTGTGTCAGAATGTGCTAGGTGCTAAGGGTACAAATATCATATTCAATTTCTTTGTCCTCAAGGGGTTTACAGTCTGGTCATTTAATCTCCCTTCTTAAGATGCCGTCCCTACCCCGTTCTGCCTATTCTAACCCTACCCATTCTTCAAAGTCCATAGTGAATTTTACTCGCTCCATCAAGCCTTCCTAAGCTCTTTTATCTTCAATATTTCTTCCCTCTGCAGAAATCTTAGCATGTGAAGTATATTCATCTAGTTCTCTGCTTAACCATCAGTAATATCAATGTGGCTACAAGTCTCAGCTTTTTCTGAGCCACACAGGGTTGCAGGAAGAAAGAGCAGAAATTGAGCTCAGATTAAAATATGGAAGGAAAGTAGGCTGTGAAGGATAGGTCTTAGTGAAAGGAAGCCATTTCAGGCTGCCAAGGGAAACTCCTTCATATGTAGGAGCTGTTAACCTAGAAACGCCACAGTCTCAGCCAGCTTTCTCATGGGGACAAGGTGTCATCTGGGAGGAAAGGTTTCTTCACAGCCAGTAATCAGCCTGATTACAATGTCCCTCCCCAACCAAGCAAAAAAACCAAAAAACCAAAAAACAAACAAACCTCTCTTCCTCTTGCTTAACAGTTCTAAAATCTCTTTAACAAGGTTGAGATGGGGAGTGGGTAGAGGATGTTCATTTTACAATTAAGAGACTTAAGCTAAGTGTATGGTCAAGTTAGTACTTCACTATAACTGAGTTTCAATCAAAGTGTAATTAATTGATCAATCAACAAGTGTAAATAATTTATTATTAATTTATTTCTCAGCTTTATTGCAATGTAGGAAGGAAAAAAAGAAAGGAAATACAGAAAAGGGGACTCTTAGGAGACCAAAAGCTGTGTGAAGGGGAGGAACACATGAACATCTCCACAGAGGTGTAAGAAAGAAACTAAGATTAGGAAAGACTGAGACTCCACCTGGGACTGGCTCCATTTACCTGCAAGTGTGCTGAGACAAGTAGAAGCTGTAACTGTTGCATGAGGGAGCTACCAAAGCAAAGAACTCTACTTAGTATGATTTAAGATTCTAGCCTTGGTATTTTATTTTATTTTTAGAAACAGGGTTTCACTATGTTGCCCAGGCTGGTCTCAAACTCAGGGCATTAAGCAATCCTCCCACCTCAAAGTAGCTGGGATTACAGGCACCTGCCACCATGCCAGACATTATTTATTTCTTAACAGTAGTAGTTTTATATAGGGGAGCTGCATGCACAGGATATTTGTAACAAATATAATAAATACAAATATTTATCATATTCACTTTTTTCCATTTCAAAGTTAAGAACGCTTTATTTTTAATTTAGTATAAATGTGTCCCTTAAATGGTTTTTCTTTCTTTTTAAATATATATTCTTTGGGGAAATTTTTGAGGTTAATATAGAATAAAAAGCTGTTTTCCTACAAAATGTCTCCAAGAAACTCCATATACCCAACACAACATGAGGCAGACCATTGATCTGATTCAAGGTGGTATATCTGGATTTGTCCTTTAAGTGAGTTTTAACATAGAAGACACTAGAGAAAATTACCACTGCAAAAACTGAATTTTAAATCACTGGACATTATATTCACCATACTGTAGAAGATGGTCATTCTCAGGAGAAAATTAGGAGTATATTTTCTAAAAACAAATTTTCACATACAAGAAAGTCTTTAAAAATTTAGAAAACATACTCTGTGTTCACCTTAGGATAAAATCACAGTTGATCACAAGTCATATAATTCCATGGACATGTTTTAGATTATATTCAATTATTAGTGCTGATTTGTAAATTTCCACTGCAGAACAGCTTCATATCTTGAAATGAAAATTTGTGGTTACTGAAAATTCATAATTGCATCGATTTCTTACCTGTGTAGCTCATTAAAAAGTATTTTCATCATATTTTAATCTTACAATAATCTTAAAAAACATTATGTCAAGAAAATTATTTTGGAAAAAGAACCCCTCTGCATTCAACAGTCAATCTAAACATTTATTAATTATATTCCAATCACATAGTAACTATTAAATAGTAAATTAGAAGTATAGTGACCCCAGAGAAAAATAAAAATTTAATGTCAAAAATCTATTGGATTCAATTAGTTTTATCTTATTACCTGTATATATCTTCTAACTGCAGATCAAACTCTTGAAGTTTCTTTTGATATTTCTCTGTAAAGTTACTGAACTCATTAAGAATTGAAGATTTCAAATCAGGATATGGACATTCTAAAGTTTCTAATTCCTTAGGCAGTTCACTAACCAGGTTAATTTTCTCTTCTGAAGAATGGTCTAGAATCTGGAAAAAATTATAGGATTAGTTTATTTAACATAAATGACAACTTGATAAATAATTAAATTACTAACAGCCTTACACTTACTTTCATACTCCTGTCTGAAAGATCATTTTCTATTTTCTGTTGCTCCAGGTTAAGTTTTTCAAAGACAGTTTTCAATTGTTTCTTCACAGACTCAACCTATAGGACATTTGGAACAAGTCGCATGCAAATTATTGCAATTCATTCAGTATTTATATTTAACGACATGGAGTTATTCTCAAAAGCCAATAAGTGATGGAAAAATCAGATGAGGGAAAGTCCCTGTGACGAGGTCTGGAAGGCAGTTAAAGAGATGCCAGCCAGGCAGTGCTCATCAGACAAATGAGCCTCAGTGAGGCCTCCAGACACATAAGTGGAAAATGGGCTCAGAACATAGAGTGTGGTCATAGCTACTCTGCACCCACATATGGATTCTATTTGTAGTAATGCAGAGAACTTACCAGATTGTCTCTGTTTCAATCACCCCTTCCTTACCTTGCATCTTTGCCTCTAATTTCCAACTGGGCATTGATTTATAATTTTTTATTGCTATTTATGAAAGCAACATAACAACATTGGAGAATAACTGAAAAATAGAGAAGTAAAAAAACACCTAAATTTTTATTACACCTAGTGTGACAATACTCAAGGACCTCCTACTCCATGAAGGAGAAGTAGTCAAAAACAACCTAATAAAAACAAAATAAGCAAGTATCAGAAGGAAGTAGGTGATGTAAAAACAGGTGGTGTGATAGGGAGTGACTGTGGCTTCTCGGGCCTCTGACAGGAGAGGACATTTAAGCCAAGCCAAGACCTAAATGACAGAAAGTGCCAATCATAGGCCACAGGAACCAGCCAGTGCAAGGAGCCTGGAGTGTGGAAGGAAGTGAAAGAAGGACTGCATGGGTGGGAGCAAGCTTTTGTGGGAAAGAGGGCATGTCAAGTAGGTGAAATGATTGAAGAAGCAGGAATGGGGAGGGATGGGAGGAGCACACACGCACCAGTGGAGTCCCTAGGGCCTGCACTAGGGGTAGGATCCCAGAATGCACTGGGAGGAGGGCAAGATTGAAAACAGGGACACCAGTTATGAGGCCACTATAAAGTTCCTGGCGAGAAATGAAGGTGCTTAAACAGATTCAGGCACGACTTCAAAATATTGAGCAGACAGAATTTGCTGAGACCTTCTATTTAAATACACAAGATACCCGTTTGTTTCTTATCTCAAACTGTTTTAGTTGGGACAAAGATGGAATATTACATTTTTGAAAATAAAGGCAATATACTAACCTCTTCCAATACTTTCACAGAGTTAGACTCATTATGTGGGTGTGAATGCTGTAAAGTGTGATGCTGTCTGTACTTTAGATCTGCTCTCAACTGCTGAATAGGATTTATCACATTTTTAAGATATGTGCACCATTGCTCTGATAATTCTTGTTCTATGGTAAAACAAAATTGAATCAAGGAAAACACATTATTATTTTAAGTTTCTCCAAGAACAGGTCATTAGGATACAGATTTAATTTTGGATTCGTTTAGATAAAACCAAATGGCAGTTATTATTAAAAGAAAATGAAGTGAGTGGTGCGTTATCATTCTTCAAAACAAAACTTCATTTTAAACATAGGATCAAAAAAAAAACTCACCAAAATTCATAAGGTCACAAAGGCATTCATTTCCAATGTTCTCTTCATTGAGAAAGGATTTTATTTCAGATTCCATTTTATATCTGAAATAGATATGGTCTCAATCAATTTTTTATAATCATAAACATATATGCATAGGTTTAAAAAATAACTGGTAGTAGAAATATTCAGCCTACTGTGGTTTTATCATCTGTTCATTTACAGAGATCATAGATTTCTAACATGGGTTGGATACTTGCTAGATCCTGAGAGAGAAAGAAGCTAACACTCAGGCACAAGTAACTGCCTGAGCAAAGGCCAGCACGGCAGGTCCTGGAGCCACTGCGTGTGGAGACAGTCCAGGGCATTGGGAAGCCACTGAAGGACACTAAGCTGACCTCAACTTCTCAGATGTCTATTTCAGAAAGATTCCCAAGGCAGCACAACAGAGAAAGAACTGGAAGACTCTTTCAGACATCGCTCTAGGCAAAGAATTTATGAAGAAGACCCCCCAAAGCAATCACAGCAGCAACAAAAATAAATAAATGGGACCTGATCAAATTAAAAAGCTTCTGCACAGCCAAGGAAACTATCATTAGAGTGAATAGACAGCCTACAGAATGGGAGAAATATTTGCTTTCTACATATCCAGTAAGCAGCTGATAACAAGAATCTATATAGAACTCAAAACAATCAACAAGAAAAAAATCAAACAATCCCATCAAAAAAATGGGCAAAGGACATGAATAGAAACTTTTCAAAAGAGGACAATAGTGGCAGCAAACATTTTTTAAAATGCTCGACATCTCTAATCATTAGGGAAATGCAAATCAAAACCACAGTTAGATGATCACCTAACTCCAGTGAGAATGGCTTTTATCAAAAAGTCCCAAAACAACAAATGCTGGTGAAGATGTGGAGAGATAGGAACACTCTTATACTGCTGGTGGGACTGCAAATTAGTACAACCACTGTGGAAAATAATTTGGAGATATCTTAAAAATCTAAAAATAGAAATACCATTTGATCCAGCAATAGCATTACTAGGCATCTACCCAAAAGAACAAAAGACATTCTATAACAAAGACATCTTCACTCAAATGTTTATGGCAGCACAATTCACTATTGCAAGGATGTGGAAACAACCCAAGTGCCCATCAATCCATGAGTGGATTAATAAAATATGGTATATGTATGGAATACTACTCAATTATAAAAAACAATGGTGATCTAGCACCTCTTATATTATCCTGGATAGAGGTTGAGCCCATCCTCCAAAGTGAGGTATCACAAGAATGGAACAATAAGCACCGCATGTACTCACCATCAAATTGGCACTAACTGATCAATACTAATATTGCTCACACACGGGCTGGGTGCAGTAGCTCACACCTGTAATGCTAGCACTCTGGGAGGCCAAGATGGGTGGATTGCTCAAGGTCAGGAGTTCAAAACCAGCCTGAGCAAGAGCGAGACCCCGTCTCTACTAAAAATAGAAAGAAATTAATTGAACAACTAATATATATAGAAAAAATTAGCCGGGCATGGTGGCGTATGCCTGTAGTCCCAGCTACTCGGGAGGCTGAGGCAGCAGGATTGCTTGAGCCCAGGAGTTGGAGGTTGCTGTGAGCTAGGCTGACAGCCATACTATCCTGAACGCACCCAGTCATTTGAAAAGAGTTTTAATTTAAATTATAATACAATATAAAACTTGTATGAAATAAGAAAATAGTAGCAATTACAATACTCTAATACAATGATTACTTTCATTTTTGCAGATAAAATTTCTATCCCTCATCTACATACATGAGCTCGGCTCCCTCATATTTTTAGCACCCCAAAAGCCATAATAGAGCATACAAACTGCAGGAAGATGGAAGCTATGGACAATGTTGATGTTCTGAGGAGGCTAATTTTCCACCTAGAAGTTTGGCACCATGCAGGAGGGACAAGAGCCTGTGCCAAAGTGGACACTAGAGGGCTCAAAAACATCCTTCACCAGACTGGTTTATCTGCAGGTGGTTGCACTGAGTTGATTAATAAAGGGTTCTTTATGGTACCAGAATGAAACAAGGAGTAGTAAGTGCCTCTGGAAAGAGTATCAGAGAGTCCTAAAGGGGTGTAGTTACACATTTGGAAATTTTTGTCTAGTTTTCTTAGTACAGATATCAAAGAATTAAAGTTTGGAAAAATGTTTTTTTTGTTGTTTTGTTATTGTATGTTTTTTGGTTTGGGGGAGGTCTGATTTTTTTTTTTTTTTTTTTTTGCTAGCAAGGCTAGATCAATGAGAGCTCAGATAATGGGAATGGAACACTATGGAAAAAAGAAAAAGCTGCTCAACTCCACGGTCACAGAGCACAGCAGTCAGGTGCAAGTGCTCCAACCCCAGTTCACGCAGACTAGCTTACTTGTCTTCTGCAAATAATTTTTATCCTCTGAGACTGAAGATTCTCATATATAAAATTGGGAGAGCAATGAGGCCTACTTTTAGGGTCACTGTAAGTATCAAAGGAGACACAGCATATAAAGGACTCAACGTACTACCTGGCGCATACCAAACAACCCAACAACAGTTAGATGTCATTGTAGGCCCTTGTCTTCTGCCTGCCTGAGATTCTCAAATGTAGTCTCTTATGGTAAAGCATGAGAATCTTTTACTTATTAAAAGGGGATATCCATTTTTAAAGATTCACAAACACTGATAGAGCTTAAATTATTTCTGACTTGCTGGTGGCCCTTAATTCTCCACAAATGTAACTAAACTTCTAATTCACCTCCTATTGACATTAGTTTTTAATCTCACTGAACACATATTGAAATCAGCCTGTATTCTAGAATAACACAGAAATTATCTTGGAATTCTATTTGTCCAATTTTCAGCCCTTACAAGTTTCAAGACATTAAGGTTATTACTACTTAAAGGTTCCTCATGTCCATTGTCTTGTTGTCATTCCAGATCAGCCAAAAGAATTATTTTCCATAATCATGTGTACAAGACTCCTCCACCTAGCTTAAGGACAACTTAACATACACATTAAGAAGGAATTGGAACACCCAAGATAAAAAAACATTTTCCAGTGTCTTCTTTTACATTTGAGCTTGTCTCAATGAACACCATAATTAAACTTCCTGCCAGGTACGGTGGCTCATGCCTATAATGCTAGCACTTTGGGAGGCTGAGGTGCGAATTCCTTGAGGCCAGGAGTTTGAGACCAGCCTCAGCAAGAGCAGCAAGACATTGTCTCTACAAAAAATACAAAAATTAGCTGGGCGTGGTGGCACATGTCTGTAATCCCAGCTACTCAGGTGGCTGAGGCAGGAGAATTGCTTGAGCCCAGGAGTTTGAGGTTGCAGTGAGCTATGATCATTGCACTGCACTCTAGCCAGGGCCACAGAGTAAGACTCTATCACAAAAACACAAACAAACAAAAAACAGAAAAATACTTCCTAAGGGCTTTCCTTTTTATCATGTTTCAAGTTATGCAAATTTTCAAAAACATTTCCCAATGGGCTCAAACATTCTCTCAACAAAAGGTGACTTTCTGAAGGGATAAGATAGTATTTATAGCAGAAGTACGGTGATGAAGTCTGTATAATTTTGATTTTCTATGTTTTAAGTTTTATAATAATGTAAAAACATTTCCAATTTTATTTCACATGTAGGAATCACTTGCCAGAATAAGAAACTCCTATTCACATGAAAAACACCTAAGTCAAAACTACAGTTAATGGTATTTGGAAACTTGACTCAGAATAAGAGCACAGAAATTACCTGTTTTGTTATAAAATAAATGCTTAAAATATACATTTTAAAAAGCATACATACTTTATAAATATCACCATCATTATAACATGTATATACGCCTTAAATGGAAAAGAAACACATCTGCCTTCTTTTTTTTTTTTTGCCTTGTCCTTTGAAAAGAAATTTGCTTCATGACCTAATGACCTCCCAAATAAAAAAAAATAAAAAAATAAAAAAATTTGCTTTTCAAAGATACAATTAAGATCAGTATAGAATCATTATTTCATTCTAGTTCATCTTTAAGTGACTGCTGGAAATAACAAAATTCAAAAATCAAAATTAATTAAGTTAGTCATGATGTAAGTACATCTAGAAACCACGGAACAATCTGAACTCCTTAGTTCATTTGGTCATCCATGTGTGAAAAGCATTTCCATGTCTCCTTTTATGTATCCTACGATGTTAAAATGCATATGATGGAGATGTTTGCCCTTGAGGAGTTTACCACTTTATAGGGAAGAAAAATATGTAACCAAAATATTATACTCCAATGTAAGTAAATACAAGCATGAGAGTGGGAGTGCAGAAGAGTAAGTGATTGGCAGATATAGAAGATTATATTTTTTTCTATGGAAAGCAAAAGCCATATTAATATATTCACTGGATTCCAGATTGAGCTGAGGAAATGAAATAATTTTAATTTGGCTTGCATTTAAATCATAACTTTAAGTTTTGTTTATAATGGTTTCATTATCATAGAATGTTATAGGGCATCTGTCTAGTAATTCCTACATGTTCTTATTGAGGTTTCCCCCAGTTCGTACCTGACTTCGTTTAGCCTCTGGTGTTCCTGCCACCACACTTGCTTGTGTTGTTTTATTAGTGTTTGTTCTTTAGATATCTTTGAAGTCTGCACTGCTTTTCTGATCTAGATTCAGAGGAACACAAGAAGAGTAACATCAAAGTTTTTAAAATGTTTTCTAAAACAAATACGTTTAATCTGCATTTTCTAAGTTCAATACTTACTCCTTCTCAATCCTTAATAGTGCATCTTCTAACACAAAATCTAACTAAAATAAATACTATGTTAAAAAGCAGGGAGGGGCAAGAGAAAATGATTTGGAATACTAACTAATTTAAGAAATATTTTTAAAGTATTTATGAAAAGAAAGGTGAAGTCATTTTATTTTCCATACATACAATAAATGATATCTTAATTCACACAGCCGCAGAAATTTTTTTCCAGAGTTTTCCATATATTTCTCCCCCTTTGCATATATCTTTCCTGCAAGGCATAAAGGGCATCTTTATTTCTAGTTTACAGATAGGGACACTGAATGTAAGAGACTTGGACAAGATCATAAAACTCATAAACAACAGAGTCACAAAGAACCTTGGTGTTTGGATTGGTTTTTACCTCTTCCCTCAGCATAAGATGGGAAAGATTCACAGGATAAATTGTTGGAGGCCTCGCTTTAGTTTCAGCTTCAACACTTACTAAAAATATGACTTTGAACATACAATTTTAATCTTTCAACTCTATGACTTTGCAAATAAATTTTTTTAAGATTTAAGCAAATATTTATTTGAAAGTACTTAAAGAAATAGTAAAAAAAAATCATGTAGAGTTGAAACCCAAATTTTCGACTAAATTTAATTTTCCTCCAATTTTATGACTTTTTAATAATGTAGTACATAATTAGTGCTTTTGGGTGTTGACAAGCTGTATCAGGCCTGAGTCTGTGTGTCTCAGATCCATCCCTGGCTGTTCCCCTGATCTGCTCCATATCCCAGAGCAGCCTATGTTTCCCAGGTGCCCCTATCAGCTGGCTTCAGCCAAAGGGAAACACTGGGATGGGAGACTGAAGGCAGGAAGGAAAGAAGAAGCCCAAGGATTACCTCCACCCGCCTTCTCTACCCTCACAGCATCTCCAGGAGCATCTGCACCCTGTCCATCACGCCAACTCTTCTCTGCACAGTTAATTCCATTGTGGTTGCAGCTACGCTGGGCAACCTCACCCACGGGATGTGACACAGCCTTGCTGCCCTCTGTCCCTCTGGCAGTGATTCTTGTGATTGTTAATCTGTGTGTTGCCTCACCGTCCTCTCTTTGCCTTCTCAGCTCTATTAAGAGCATAACCATGTCCCCACTTTAAAGACCCTTCTACTCTAAACCCTCCAGCAATGTCAGTTTCCTGGTTAAACTCTGACTTACATTCATGTGTACTCTGAACTTGGGTATTCCATACTAACACTTTTAAACTACAAAAGTATATATCAGAAACTTGATGAAATACATATATTTCATCATTTCTCTGCTATCAGTGTTTAGTACCCTGAAAGCTTAAAAGATCAATACTGAAGACGTAAAAACTTCAGAAGACAAACTCTAAAAAGGAACCTTTATAATGCGTGCTATTTCTAGCTGTCATTCGCTGATTACTTTAACCTTGAGTTTGTCTTTCTGCTGTTCTGGTTACTGATTCAAAATTAGAGGTATAAGAAAACAAATTAACCCAAAGATTACTTTAAAAAAATACAAAGTCAAATCTTTTCCTCAGGAAGTTCTTCAGGAAGTTTTTCCCCATCTCAGGAGGTCTTAAGACTGCTAACAATTATGCCATTGAGGAGGTAAGTACGTTTTAAAAAGTATAAGACACTGCAGGAAAACATTCAAATCTCTATTTTACTTACTGAAAAAAATTAAAAGTACGTAGTATTTCTATGCTATAACACTCTAGTGTTTGCTTTAAGAATGACTAAAACTCATTCCAACTGTTTACCATTCACAGTCCCTAACGTTTGTTGCAACATATACAACTTTTAAAATTAGATTTCTTTGACGTATTTGGTCCACATTGTACAAAAATATTAAAATACATTGGTAGAAGATGGGGACACATTTTTATACCTTGAAAAAAAAAATCAATGCTGTTGCCTTTGGGCCTAGGGAAAGGCCAATTAAGTAGACTATAAAAGACAAAATAAAGCTACTATTTTTCACTAGACACTTCCAATATTTGCAGAACATACTGATTTTTTGTAAATTCACTCATTGATTCTATTTCTATCCTCAGGCCAAAAATGAAGAAAAATAAAGTCTGAAAAAGAACAAAAAGATTTAATGTTGTATCTTTATCAATAGAGAGATTTCTAGGTGATTCAAATTCATTTTACTGGGCAATAAGCCATATAAAATCAATATTTAAGGTAGATGATGACTTATACAGAATGCTGATGATTTAAAAATCCTTTGGAAAAATGACAAAAATAATGAGTTCATGAAAGAATCAGAAACTAGAGGTTTTCTGTGTGTGATTTATTGTGACAGTCCAAGATAATAAAATTCTAAATAGGCACCTTGAAATCCTACAAAAGCCTTTTGGGCCAGAGGATCCATCTTTAAATACTCAATAACTAGTGGACAATTTAAGTGGTGGTTACACATGTGTACTCATTTGTCAAAATTCACTGGAACATACACATAAAATGTATGCATTTTATTGTATGAGTTATACCTCAATAAAGAACTTTTAGCATAAATAAAAAGAAAAAAACAACTACCCCAAGATGCAATTTCTCATCGATCAAATTAGCAAAAACTCAGATGTTTAACAAAAAACTCTGTGAGTCTATGTTCTGCCTTACATTGCTAGTAGGATACTATATGATACACACACACACACACACATTCCCTGGAAAGGAATTTAGAGATGTATCACAAGATTTCACATGGATTTACCCTGTGACCTAGTAATCTCATATATAGAAATCCATTTGAAAACTACATTGGCAAAAGTACAAAAAGATATATGCACCAAGCTATTCACTGCGGCACTATTTGTAATAGAAAAAGACTGGAGCACAAAAATTCCATCAATAAGTGTTCTTGGCAAAATAAATCGAACCTGAATCTGATCAAGTCTCTAGATAAACTACCAATTTACTGGACATCAGAAACAGAAAAACATGTTAAATGACACCACCAGGATGCAATCAGCATAATTCCAACTGTAAGAAACTCTCATATGAAGGACAAACCATGCAATTTCTTCCAAAAATAAATTACAAAATATAAGAGGATGAAGGAGGAAATCGAAAAAATAAAAATCACTTGTAATATATGGATCATACCCAGATGCTAATTTGAATAAACTTTAAGAAAAAATTTTTGAGACAATCAGAGAAATTTAACACTAACTGTGTATGTTAAATTATTAAGGAATTATCATTTTTAGACATGGTAATTGTGGGGCTTTTTAAAAAGCACTAATATTTTAGAGATACATGCTGAAATATTTATGGGTAAAATATTACGATGTCTTAGATTTGCTTAAAAACAATCTGGCACAGAGGGAGGTTTGTAGATGAGAGTATAGAGGAACAATGGCCAAAAGTTAATCACTGTTGATGCTAGATGATGTTACATGGAGATTCATTATACCACTCAATCTAATTTTGCATATGTTTACAATTTTCTATAGCATAAAGTTTTTTAAAAAAGAATTAGATGGATACTTGAGTTGTACAAGAAGTATGTAAACAAAGACTTCAAAATAAAAATAATTGTAAAGATCTTTTTTATACGTAGTAAGTTAAGAATGAACAGTTAGATACAATGTACCAAAATCGATCTCACTTTTCAGCTGAAATCTACTATTTAGCTTTTGGCTCAATCTCATCTTTTGAAAGACTAAATCACTGAATGTCCACTTCAGTGTCTTATCTGGCACCCTAGAAATCGTACATGATCAATGACACAATGATTATATAGATGACCATTATATCCCACCAGTATAACAATATCAGTAATACAAATCAGGAAAGTAGCTAAGTACTCTAGAAGTAACTTGAAGCAATAATCTCCTTATGTGCTTTAAATGTTAACATTCTATCCTTTAATTTAAATATGTTTATATTTAATATTACCAGAGCAAAGTGCTCTAATAATTAACGATGATTATTAAAACTGTTAATTTCATGTTTAAAAAAGGAGCTCATTTAAATAGTACAATAAACAGATAATTAATACAAGTGTTAAGAGACAATGTGTTAGCAATATAACATTAAGAAGAATAATATATTCTTTTTGAGCCAATAAATATTTTATAAAAAATTAAATAATAATATAAAAATAATAATAGATGATATTACAATCATAATTCTAGTTAGTGTGGACCATTTGGTAGATTAGCATTTATAACATTAGAAAAATGAACTTTAAGAGTTATATTTAATTTCCAGTTATTTAATTCCATTTAAGCCATGAGTCTTTCAAGAAAAAGTCCTATTTGGCAATTGTTCATATCTTATAAGAATAAATTAAAAGCAAAATGTCAACTTGCTGCCTCTAAATTAAATGAGAAGGGAAGACTGCAAAAATCATGTACAGCAACATTCTCAACACACCTTCTTTAATCCATATATAATAAAAGATAAAAACTGTATGAAGAAAGAAGAAAGTGTTACAAAATGATGAGGTACCCAGGACACATTTTGTTCTCACTAACTGAAATTCAAAACAACAGACATTACAAAAATGCTTTAAAAGGGCAATTCCTTATCATCACGAATCTGTGGAGACTAAAAATGGAAGCACAAGCTTGTCAAAATGATTGCTACAGCCTGTGAACCATTTTCATTAGTTAAAGACAAGAAATTTTTTGAGATTTGCAAAACTGTGAATCCTAGTACAAAGTGATTTCTAGAAAATATGTAACTAAAAAGCGTCTTCCTGAATTATATTCTGCTATGAACAAAAAGGTTATGTTATTTAAAAAGCCACTTGAAAGTGTGCATATGTTTAACCTCACAAATGTATAATACAGCAACCAGAGAAGCAATCTTGCAGATGACGATGCTGAGAAATTATTGTTCCTGTACTTAATCTCCAACTTTAAAAACCACAATAATAATTAAATATCTGAAATATGTTTATTCTTTGATAGCAAATCTATCACCAAAGAGAAATTTGCTTTGACCCAATACTGATTTAACACACTCAACCATTCTACAGTTTGCCAAAATGTCTTTTTTGGTGCTTCTGGATAGATGGATGCATGGATGGTTGGATGGATGGATGGATGGATGGATAGATGGATAATATTAGGAATATAAATGTATATATATGAGTATATATGTACATATTCCAATACTGATGAGGGTGTGGAGAATATGTTTGTGGTGGTATCTTTATTAAACAATGTCTTGGGAAAGGAGTTTGGGAATTTTTCCTATGGGGGTAGGTAGGAATTTTAAGACATGAAAAGTCTCTATGCATGAAGATGTTTACAGTAGTGTAATCACCAATATCACAAAATTGAATACAACTCAAATATCTAAAAACTGGGGTGTGATAATACATGCATGTTTTTCTATTTGGCATTACTTGTCACTCTTGCTTTTGCTTCGTTTTTTATTTCTTTTTAAAATGACATAATTGTGCATATTTATGGGGTACAATTTGATGTTTTGATACGTATATATACAATGATCAAATAAGGGTATTTAGCATGATCATCACCTCAGGTATTCATCATTTCTTTGTGGTGAAAACATCCAAAGGCCGCTTTTTTAGCTATTTTGTAACAGACAATACCTTAATCATCATTCTACTATGCAGTGTGCAATGGAACACCAGAACTGACTCCTCCTTTCTAATTGTAACTCTGTATCTTATTGGCCTTGAGATCCCAATTCTAATATCCTTTCCTCAGAAAAACCTTCCCTATCCTCCCAATCAGGATCACACTTACTGTTATAGACCAGACAGCATGTTTTTATTGCAGTTTACATGATATAATTCCACTTCCAAGCTTATTTGATAAACACTGACTCCTCTCACCCCTACCCCAGGAAAAAGTACACTCCACAAGGGTATGGGATATATTTTGCTCACCACTGTATCTTCAAGGCAAATAGTAGGCACATAATAAATATTCATTGACTAGAGTAATTATAAATATCATATACAAATTAAATACTATAAAGACTATGTGGCAAAATGTTAAGGTGAAAAGCATATAGAATTTCATATCTATGTTTGAAAATAAAATACATATTATATGTTTATGTTTACGTATACGTATGTGTGCATACATGTGGTATGTATACAATAGGTCAGAATAGAAGTCAGAGACCGGAAGAGTTTGGTTAGGGTAATAATGACATAAGTGACTTTTGCCACAAAATTTCTTCAAATGTTCTCATAACATTAACTTATTTTAGGCCAGGCGCGGTGGCTCATGCCTGCAATCCTAGCACTCTGGTAGGCCAAGGCAGGAGGATCGTTTGAGCTCAGCGGTTCGAGACCAGCTTGAGCAAGAGCAAGAGCCCATCTCTACTAAAAATAGAAAGAAATTATCTGGCTAACTAAAAATATATAGAAAAAATTAGCCAGGCATGGTGGTGCATGCCTGTAGTCCCAGCTATTTGAGAGGCTGAAGCAGGATTGCTTGAGCCTAGGAGTTTGAGGTTGCTGTGAGCTAGGCTGACACCACGGCACTCTAGCCCAGGTAATGTAGTGAGAAAAAAAACCAAAAAACTTATTTTAAAATTATATGAACCCAACAAACAATACACTAGTTTTTAAGTAGTTGCATTAGTTTGAGGAGGTATATACAGTTCACGGATATATGGTAACTGTAGAATAGAGAGTATCAAATGTGCTGTGAAATCCTAAAAGTTGCCATTTATAAAAAAATTAATAAGAAGCTATGCAAAACTAATATAACATGAAAATCTTAAAAACATATGAAAACTTGTAAATTACTTAATATGTTGCTTCACCAAACCAGTTTTTTAATGCAGCCAAGTAATGAAAATGCTGTTTTTAATGAACTCTATTATTTGCACAAGAGAGAAATATACTGCATGAGTAATTCTAAATTATCCTTGGTCCTAAAATACTATGCACAGTAAACCTCTTCCAAATCTAGTCCAGGTTCACCTTTTCTTGGTTTAGGACATATATTTGAGCAATAAAAGGCAATCCTAGAAAAGAGAACAACTGAGAACATATTTGTATAGTGTCTGAGAAGGAGCCTTAAATCAGAAAATAATCCATGACTGGTACTTGCTAGCACTATTTATTTTTCAGATTAAGTTGAAAATTGTTTAAAACTAATGAAATAACTATCTCTCCAAAGCTAAAGCTGAATTCAGAGCTCATAGAGTTGTCATGAACGTTAAATGAGTAATGCATATAAACTATTTAACAGTGCCTAAGAGCATTCAATAAATGTTAGCTGCTGCTCACTATTAATAGCTGAGAGAGTCTAAAAACTATTTAGAATGTCATTTATTTTTGCATTTGCAATGTAAATACTTCCTAGGAATTCAATTTTCCAAAAATAGAAAAAACACACATAACTTCTAACCTTTAGCTCTGTACATGCAGAAGCTAATTTTTGTGCTTCAGTTAATGCACGCAAGTGTTGGTAGTCTACTGGTTTATACTTGGTGCTTCTCATCCCAGTTTTCGTACAGAACACCAGATGATCTGTAGTTCATAAAAACAGAAAAATGACAAAGAAATAGTATCGTGTTATTGGAAGTCAAAATGTAGTTAGGGCAACATGTTAAATTCAGGTCTCATTTTTAAATGTTTTTAAGTAAATGCAAGAAATAATATAACATTCATAATATATTTGAACCTCTGTTTCTAGAAATTCTTAGAATATAGTAACTATATTTCTTATATAAAGACATTACTTCTAAAAAGGCATAGAGGGAATATTTTCACTTAAGTCCATACTATATTGAAGATTTCAGAAAATTTTAATGCCAACACACAAAGTATGACCACTGTTAAGTCATTTTTTTTTTAATTTAAAATGTGTTAGGCATCAACTGTGCTTGGTAACTGGTAATTGCCCACCAGCTTTAGCAATCTAGCGATAAACTCCAATGTGTAACTTCTACAGGGTCTCTGGTCAAAAATAGGCTGGTTTCTACTCATATCCACATCCTATCCATTAAGATTCTTCTTCCAAAATGCACACCCAACCTGTCCACTTCACTACCTCTGCACTGGTCAAGCCACCGTCACCTCTTGCCTGGATGACAGCAGTAGTTCGTTCTACTTTGTAACCCTATAATCTACTCTCCACACAGCAGTCCAGGTAACCTCTTAAAGACTCTAGTCCGACCTTGCTTGAATCCCTTCAGTGGTTTCCCATTACCCCCTCTCATTGTATCTCTAGTTAAGCGGTGATCTTTACAAAAGGACAAAAGCAAAACCTGAAGAGCATATTCTACTTGGGTGGCCAATCTCACAAGAATAAAACTCTATCACCCCAGACATTGTTTTACACTGAACACAATTGAAATCAGCCTGTATTCGAAAACCAGAAATTATCTTGGAACTATTTGTCATTCAGCCCTGCAGTTTAAGACATTAAGTTATTATATTAAAGGTTCCTCAGTCCATTGTCTTGTTGTCTTCCAGATCAGCCAAAAGAATTATTTCCATGATCAGGTGTACAAACTCCTCCCACCTGCTTAAGAGCACTTAAAACATAACATTAAGAAGGAATCTGGACATCAAGTAAATACTTTTTCAGTGTCTTCTGTTTACATTTGGCTTGTCTCAATGCAACACCCATAATTACAACTTTCCTGCCAGGCACGGTGGTTCATGCCTATTAATCAGCCAGCACTTTGGAGGCTGAGGTGGACATCTGAGGCCACAGAGTGTGAGACAAGAGCAGCCTCAGCAAGAGCAGCAAGACATTGTCTTTACAAAAAAACAAAAATTACTGGGCGTCGCACATGTCTGTAATCCCAGCTACTCGGTGCTGAGGGCAGGAGAATTGCTTGAGCACCAGGAGTTTGAGGTTGCAGTGGCTATGATCATTGCATGACTTGAGGCCAGGGCCGACAGAGTAAGACTCTATCACAAAAACACAAACAAACAAAAGAAAAATACTTTCTAAGGGCTTTCCTTTTTATCATGTTTTCAAGTTAATGCATTTTTCCAGACACACCCCCATTTCCAATGAGGTCAAACATTACTCTAACAAGGTGACTTTCTGAGAGGGATAAGTATATTGTATAAGCAAAGTACGGTGATGAATCTGTATATTTGTTTTTATGTTTTTAGATTCTATACAATATGAAGTGTAGAAAACATTCCGAATGTTTATTACCATGGGTATGGGAATCACTGTGCCAGAATACAGAACTTCCTATTCACATGAAAAACACCGAAGTGCAAAACTACCGTGGTAATTGCGTTATTGGGACTACTTGACTTCAGAAGAAGAGCACAGAATTACCTGTTTTGTTATAAAATAAATGCTTAAAATATTTTAAAAGCATCAAATATCTCTTATAATACTCACCTCAATTATTTGAACGATGTATAGATACGCCTTAAATGGAAGAAACAACAGTATGCAGCTTCTGTTTTTTTTTTTTTGCATTGATCTTGAAAAAGGAATTTTGCTTCATGACTAATGAGCCTCCCAAATAATAAAAAAAAAATAAATAAAAATTTGCGTTTTTCAAAGTATTAACAATTAAGATCAGTATAGAATCATTATTTCAGTTCTAGTTCATCTTTAGGTGACTGCTGGAAATAAACTAATTCAAAATCAAATTAATTACAGTTAGTCATGATGTAGTACATCAATAGAAACCTACGGACAATTTGACTCCTGTTCATTTTGTCATCATGTGTGAAAAGCATTTCCATGTCTCCTTTTATTGGTATCCTACAATGTTAAATGCAATGATGAGATGGTTTGCCCTTGAAGAGTTTAACCAGCTTTATTAGGAGAAAAATATTAACCACAAAATGATCTATACTCCCAATGTAGTAATGACAAGCATAGACGTGGAGTGCAGAATGAGTAGTGATGTGCAGATATAGAAGATTATATTTTTTTCTATGGAAAGCAAAGCCAATGATTATATATTCACTGGATTCCAATTGAGCTGAGGGAAATGAGTATTTTAATTTGGCGTGGCATTTATCAAATCATAACTTTAAGTTTTGTATAATGGTTTCTTATCATGGAGGATGTTATATGGAATCTGTTAGTAATTCCTACATGTTCTTATTGAGGTTCCCCAGGTTCGTACCTGACTTCGTTTAGCCTCTGGTTTCTGCCAGCCACACCTTGCTTCTGTGTTGTTTTATTAGGGTTTGTTTGCTTAGACTATCTTGAAGTCTGCACTGCTTTCCTGATCTAGATGTCAGAGGAACACAAGAAGAAGTAACATCAAGTTTTTTAAAATGTCTTTAAAACAAATACGTTTATCTGCATTTTCACCAGTTCATCTCTACTCTTCTCGAATCCATCTACATGAGTGACGTACTTCAACACGAAAATCTAAAAATAATACTATGTTGAAAAAAGCAGGGAGGGGCAGAGAAAATGATTTTGGAATACTAACTACATTTTAAGAATATTTAAGTATGTTATGAAAAAAAGTGAAGTCATTTATTTCGCCATACAGTAGCAACTAAATGATATCTTAATTTCACACAGCGCAGAAATTTTTTTCCAGGTTTTCATATATTTTACCCTTCTGCATATATCCGTTTTGCAGGCATCAAGGGGATCTTTATTTCTAGTTTACAGAGTAGGGCATGCAATCGTAAGAGAACTTGCAAAGATATGAAAAATCTGAAACACAACAGAGTCACAAGAACCTTGTGTTTGGATTGATTTTTTACTCTTCCCTCAGATTAAGATGGAAAGATATTAGACTAACAGTGTTGAGCTCGCTTGTTTCAGCTTCAACATTACTAAAAATGACTTTGAACATCAATTTTCAATCTTCACTCTATGATTTGCAAAAAATTTTTTTTAAGTTTAGCAATATTTTTTGCAAATATTAAGCAAAATAGTAAAAACTGTGAGTTGAACAAATTTGTCGACTAATTTAACTTCTCAATTTATCGACTTTTAATAATGTAGTAATAATTAGTGCTTTTCGGCGGTTGCTGAAAAGCTGGTATCAAGGCCTGAGTCTGTTGGTTTGTTCAAGATCATTCCTGGCTGTTCCTGATCTTGGGCTCCAGTATACCCCAGCGCAGCCTATGTTTCCAGGTGCCCTATCAAGCTGTCAACCAAAGGAACACTGGGATGGGGAGAACATGAAGGTGGAAAAGAGGAGAACAGCCAAGATTACGTCACCCACCTTCGTCTAGCCATAGCAGTCTCCAGGAGCATCTGCACCCTGTCCATCACGCACTCTTCTCTGGACAGTTAATTCCATTTGTGGTTGCAGCTGACGCTGGCAACCTTCACCCACGGGATGTGAACAGGCCCTGCGTGCCCTCTGTCCTGTTGGCAGTTTGATTCTTGTGATTGTTAACTCTGTGTGTTGCTCACAGTCCTCTCTTTGCTCTCGCTCTATTAAGGAGCATAACGCAGGTCCCCCACTTTAAAAGAATCCTTCTACTTAAACAACTCAGCAATGATCAGTTTCCTGGTTAAACTCTGACGTTACATTTTACATCCCAGGTGCTACCTTGAACTTGGTATTCATACCTTAACACTTTTAACTTACAGAAAGTATATCATCAGGAAACTTGATGATACATAATATTTCATATTTCTCTGCTATCAGTGTCTGCTGACGCTGAAGCTTAAAAGATCAATACTTGGAAGACGTCGAATACTTCAGAAGACAAATTCCTAAAAGGAACCTTTATTAATGCGTGCTATTTCTAGCTGTCTTCGCTGATACTTTAACCTTGGTTTGTCTTTTCTGCTGTTCTGGTTACGATTCAAAATTAGAAGGTATACGAACAATTACCCAAAGATACTTAAAAAATACAAGTCAATCTTTTCTCAGGATTCTTCAGAAGTTTTCCCCATCTGCAGGAGTCTTAAGACTGCTAACAATTATGCCATTGAGGAGGTAGTACGTTTTAAAAGGTATAAGACAAGCAGGAAACATTCAAATCTCTATTTATTACTTTGAAAAAATTAAAAGTACGTAGCATTTCTATGCTATAACACTCTGTGTTTGCTTTAAGAATGACTAAAACTCATTCCAACTGTTTAATTCACAGTCCTAACGTTTGTTGCACATATTACAACTTTTAAAATTAGATTTCTTTGACGTATTGGTCCACATTGTACAAAATATTAAATACATTGGTAGAAGATGGAGACACATTTTTATACCTTGAAAAAAAATCAATGGCTGTTGCCTTTGGGCCTAGGGACAGGCCAATTAAGTAGACTATAAAAGAAAAAATAAAGCTACTATTTTCACTAGACACTTCCAATATTTTCAGAACATACTGATTTTTGTAAATTCATCATTGATTCTATTTCTATCCTCAGGCAAAATGAAGAAAAATAAAGTCTGAAAAAGAACAAAAAGATTTAATGTTTAGTTCTTATCAATAGAGAGATTCTAGGGATTCAATTCATTTTACTGGGCAATAAGCCATATAATCAATATTTAAGGTAGATTGAGACTTACAGATGCTGATTGATTTAAAATCTTTGGAACAAATGAAAAAATAATGGTCAT